CTTCTTTACTTTTCGAACTATTTCTGCTGATGTTGCTGTTTTCTTCTGTTCACTTCCTTGACGTCGGGATACGCTACCAGTATCACGGTAACGAGCGATGGTATGAGACAGAAAAGATTTATTCACATTAGTCAAATATAAAGAAATCACTCCATCGCGCTTGAATTCCATCACGAATAACTTCTTTTCTAGAAAATTCTCACCAATATTCTTTTGTACGCTTGTAAACAATATAATGAGCTGTCACTGAAATAATTTTGACAACTGTCGGGTGAGTGGCTTAGAAATGACAGCAGTTTGAAGTTGGTTGCAGTTTTTTCATCTCACCCTGTATATCTGCGAACCCCTTCTGATACCTCTTCCCCAAAGGGTCAAAATTTTCAGGTCTTTTATCTGTCATAACTCGCGAAACAAATCTTCGATTCCTTACAACTAACAATATCTAAATATTTCTCTCAACCAGAAACCTGCGATGAAAATGGAATTTATGATTTCTCATAAAATTGGATTAAATGTTGGATTTTTTTGTAATTTTGCCCATATACATTTTTTCTGTATTAGATAAAGCATTAAAGTAGAATAATTCCGTCGACTAAACTGGTACCTTACGCATATTTTAACATTTAATAAAAATATCACATATCCCATATAAATGGAAGAAAGTAACCAATATTACCTGGCACGTCGCAATATTTATATCATATTTATTTAAGTCCCATAAGAAATGGACAATATTGTCCAATTTCTTCCGAACATACTCCATAGAGGGTCAAACATTTGAATAATCATAAAAGAAGTACAAATATATTTAAATAATCGAACATTGGCTGAGGATATACAAAACCGGCTGATACTTTTTGACTTTTTTTTCGCTCGAAATCTTGTATATATTCCCTGCTCAGAAGTTGATGGCCTCCTACAGTTCTATAACACAAATATCAGAATATGATAATGTCCGCATTCAATTGAAACGGATATAGAAGGAACATAAATTTCCACAAAATTTATAAACTGTCCCAAAAAAGTAACAAAGCTTCAATTTTCTTTCGATTGACACCGGAAGGATATCCAAACTCAACATGTGGGCAAAAACTTTTACTGCGTAGCAATTCAATAAGGATATCCCATGTTACTCCTATCCACTACAAACCAATAAAACTATGTTCTCTTTGGAAGAAAATTCCAAATAGAATTTTTATTGGATACCAGCAACTATGTTTTTTTGCAATTTCCAAAAAAAAAAAAACATCCATTAAGCTAAGGGTACTTTTTAATGGATTTCAAAACGAAACAAAATATGAAATATTCTCAAGAAAAGCCAACCCAACAACCAGTCAATCCATACAGAATGGAAGACACTCAGTCAGCCAGTCAGTTATTCCGTCAGTTAGTAATAATAAACAATAGCACGTGAGAGTTAAAATTGAAATGACTTCCCACGCCGACGTTCAACCCAACAACAACAACACCATCATTGTCAATGGGAATAAGCTAGACCAATCTGAAACCAACCACCGCCGCCATTACCACCCTTAATTTTGCCACCAACCAAATGCCTGTCAATGGGAATATGCCAAACAAAGCAGGATAAAAGCGAAATTTAAATGCTTAACCTTACAAAGCTAACGAATATTCTCATAAACCTAACATAACGTTCCCAACCCTCGAAGACCGAACGTATGGAAAATTATTCAATTTCCAATTGGACAATGGCAAAAGAAACGCAGCAACAATTTCTTAAAATGCCAGTTGATTAGTTTTTTATAATTCATTCATATTTCAATTGGCACAGTGGATACAAAAGAAATATTGCAATTCGGACATTTAAAAACTTTTTGAAAAATAGAGAAAAAATGTTGTAGAAGACCACCATCATGTTCTTGCCCCACTGAATGGAAACGTGCGTTTGAGCTTGTCTCTAGTGACCCGTACATGGAATAGGGTAGCAGTCAAGTGTGAAATGGCCAAGGAAGTGAAGTAAAAACCCCACGGTTATTTGTCAGATACGAGCCCGCTTTTCGAATGCAAAAACGTCGTGTTACTAGAGGATTTAAATGCCCCAATAAGTTGTGGCATTCCATCCTCGGGGATCAGCGTTAACAGAGCAGATTCATTTCTCTTGGATTCATTTCCCAATAATCTTCTCGATGCAACCGAACGTTCGCTATACACATACTGAATACAGTGGGCCTAGCGAATGAGCGTGATGAACTCCGGGGTTTCAACCCTACTGATCCCAGAGTCAGCAAACTGATACTAAAGGTCAACAGATTAGTAGAGAAGAGAAAGGGGAAAGAGTGGCTAGACCATCTGAACCGATATGAATGATCTGAGTGCAAATATTAAATGACTCTCGAAGCCTGGGAAAAATATGATAGGACCGCAGTCACTTTTAACGTCGGCTCTCGTTTCAACCCTAGGGGTACACAACTTGGTGCAGGGCATGGTACAATGAATTCAAGGTAGGGCAGAACTACCATATGATTTCAATTTTTTTATTTTTCTGGCTTAATATGTCAACTTCATTTGCTTATGTGTGTGTCTTCTATTCAATAATAAAAAATATTGTTCAGAAAATATTTAAATTCGGGTGTTTTCAAAATGCTTATTGCAACGTATGCATCGACAAAGTCTACAGTTTTTGTCGCGAAATAAGCCATAAGCGATATATAGAACATGATTTTGAAAAGAAATGTTGACCTTTTATTCAGTTTTCGCGGTTTTAAATTATTTATTCAAAATCAATGCAACAAGTTGTTTGATTTTTTATTGTTTTGATACTAATTTTGACATTACAAACCAAACAGGTATACCTCTATAATTGCAATTATTTCAAAGTTAGCCTACCTTGTATTCATTGTACCATGGTGCAGGGCATAATAGGAACAAATAAAAAAGCAGAAAGTCCAGCCGGGCCGAACTTTAAACACCCTCCACCATTTGGAACGAATTAGGAAATTTTCAAAAAAAATAAAATCCATAAAAAAAATCTTAAAAATACCGAATATCAGATGGTGGCGATATATGGAGGATAAACGATCTCTTTGGGGTAAAGTACTCACAAAGAACTCCTTGTGTGGATTTTCAGACAATTCCATTGGAAAATGTGGCTAAAATAATCAAAATACCGAATATCGGAAGGTGCCGTTATATGGGGGTATACGATATTTTGAACCAATAAAGACAATTCTCTTTTAGGGGGTAAAGTGCTAACAATGAACTCCTTGTGTAGAATTTCAGACAATTCCGTTGAAAAATGTGGCAAAAATCATCAAACTACCGAATCTCGGGGTGTACCGTTATATTGGGGCTATACGATATCGTGGACCTATATAGATAATTCCCTTCCAGGAGATAAAGTACTCACAAGGAACTTCTTGTGTGGATTTTCGACAATTCCATTGAAAAGTGTGGCTAAAATCATCAAAATACCGGATATCGGAACATGCCGTTATATGGGGGTATACAATATTTTGGACCAATAAAGACAATTACCTTTCAGGGGGTAAAGTGCTCACAAGGAACTCCTTGTGTGGATTTTCAGACAATTCCATTGGAAAATGTGGCTAAAATCATCAAAATACCGTTATATGGGGGTATACGATATTTTGGACCAATAAAGACAATTCTCTTTCAGGGGGTAAAGTGCTAACAATGAACTCCTTGTGTAGAATTTCAGACAATTCCGTCGAAAAATGTGGCTAAAATCATCAAAATACCGAATATCGGGGTACCATTATATGGAGGCTATACGACAGCGTGATATCTCCAGAAGTGTTTAATCTTTACTTGTTCAGATTTCTGGCCAAGTTGAACACCTGCCTCACAGAGCTTTCCGACTTCTTCCAGGCCACACTCTTCATAGCGTGGTCTGCGGGGAAGAGAATGCAGCTGAATCTTCAGGTCGATGGACCCTTACTTCCGACTACGAACTACCCCCATTTATCTTGGCTGTCCACGGAAACCACAGCTATATGAGATAAATTGAAAAACAAGGTTCTCAAGGCGTCGGTGGGAAGCAACCAAAAATTTAAAATAACACCCCTTTTTAAATTTCTCGTAAAGGGGTTACATTTATTCAATCTAGCCGATCCTTAAATGTTAATATTATATTTGTAAGTTTTAAAATGTTAACCACTGTCTCACACAAACCACGACCATGTCATTCTCATGTAAACACTCTCAATGTCCTGGCGGAGGATTATTATTTGTACAGCGCGACATACAAAAAACTGGTGCTATCAACAGGCAAAACAACAATGCTACTCATATTACACACAAACATATTTTTTGTGTTTGATTACTTTAACCTGATAGACCCTTGTGAATCCAATAAGATTTCTCTCGTTCCCAGCCATAAAGATTACATGCAAACGAAATGAGGGTTGATTTCCTGGCTATCATCATTCAAACATCGTTTAATAATCATATGTTTTTCATTATTGCGATTGCATTTAGATATTGTGGTTGATGTTGTTGTTGTCGTCATCGTCGTCGGTGTTTATATTGGGCTGGCGTTTTGTTATGTAGCTCGTGTTGAACTTGCCGCGCACATAAAAAGGTAAAAAAGTAACACAGAAAATTTAATTGATTTGTATTTTTGTGGTGATGTCTCTCTGTCTGTCCCATTAAATAGTGAATGAACATCAATTGTGTACATTTCACGCTTGAGTGACATTATTCGATTAGAATATTTATTGAGAGCAAAAATTAATGGCTCATTAAAATGTTAGGTTGGTTGATGTTGTTGGAAAGGCAATTTATAAACAACATTCACATGTCTAATATATGCACATATGAAAATGTCATAAAGGTAGATCACTGTCTCGCTAGCTACCCCTATCCCAATTTACATTTTATGCAATAATTACACACAGACGCATCTATATCATATGTGAATATATTTCCACATTGTATCTATTACTAGTTAAAGAAATGCAATATTTTTCCATTTGAACACACTTTGTTGTGTCTATAAATCATTACTTGATGTGTGTGTGTTTTTTTTTTTTCAAAATCGTGGCTTTTATTACAAAAAAAAATAGTTAAAACAAAACCTAGGAATACATTTATTCTCCCCCATGCCTACCAGGGAATTAACATTGATTCATTTTGTTCAATGCCATGGCACTTGATTGGGATTACTTATTATTCCCTTTTTATAATATTTTGCTGTAGTTGCTGCTGAACTTGGAAGACTGGGTGAATTCAATGTCGGTTCATATGAGGGACCTGAACCGTCAGCTTTAAGTTCAGCGGCACATTTCCATTTTTTACTATAGTTCACTGAAAAAAAAAAAAAACAATATTTGTATATTTCGATTTGAATTAAAATAGTGATATTTTTATCTTACTTCTCCATATCCGCACACAGCCATCATCGCCGGTTGATATCAACATGGTGGCAAACATATTCCAACAGACACGCCATACTGGGCAATTGTGATCGGTGTGTTTAACGGTTTGTATATCCAATTTGGAGGTGCCGGTAGCATCACTAAAAGTTATAAATATGTGATATAAAATAATAATATTTTGAAACATAAAATGTCTGTGTGAAAACTCAATAATTTATACTAACTAAATTTTATCAGCTAGAAATTGCATAGCCAAGTCTCTCTAATTTACTGGAATTTGGGTTATCGAACAACATTTTATAATAATTTGTACAAATTATAAAAATGGTCGGAACAATGACGCAATCAACTTCTTATTCCATTCATAGTAGTAAGTAACAAGTAAAAAAAACAGTATACCAGAATACCCTCTACCAGTTGGAACGAATTAGGAAATATTCAAACAAATAAAATTCTGTTTAAATCTTAAAAATACCGAATATCGGAAGGTGCCGATATATTGAGGGGATGTACGATATTGTGGACCTATATAGACAAATCTATGTCTGTGGGGTAATATACTCACAAAGAACTCCTTGTGTAGAATTTCAGGCAATTCCATTGAAAAATACGGCTAAAATCACAACATATCGAATATCGGGGGTATCGTTATATGGGGGCTATACGATATCGTAAACCTATAAAGACAATTCTCTTTGAGGGTGTAAAGTGCTCACAAAGAACTCCTTGTGTAGAATTTCAGACAATTCCCTTAAAAATGTGGCTTAATATACCCTCCATACTATGCATGGTGAAGGGTATAAAAAATAAATGGAAGTATTAGCCTGGCTATTTGACTGACAAGATACTGTAATACATGGGATAGGTGGAAAAAGAACAAGTAAAAAAGCAGCTAATTTAGAACAGGCCGAACTTTTAATACCCTCCACCATTTGGAAGAAACTTGAAAATTTGAAAACTGTTATATGGAGACTATACGAAGACGTGGACCTTCTTACAAAATTGTTTGTCATAGGCTGTAGTAGCCATTACGAACTTCAAATTCCAAATTTGAAACAATTCCGGCGAATAATATCGGTATGGCATCAATTTCGGTATGTATCGTTATATGGGGGATATACAAAAACGTGAACCTACATACGAATTTTTTGTCATAGGCTGTAGTACCCATTACGAACTCTAAATACGAAATTTGTTACAATTCCGGTTAATGATGTTGCACAAATCATAAAAAATACCGAATATCGGGAGGTACCGTGATATTGGGGGCAATACGAGGACGTGGACCTGCATACAAAAATTTCTATCATAGGCTGTAGCACCCATTACGAACATCAAATACGAAATATGAAATAATTCCGGTGAATAATGTCGCTAAAATCATGAAAATAACGAATATCGGAAGGAAACGTTATATAGGGGCTATACGAAGACGTGGACCTGCATACGAGATTTTTTTCCATAGGTTGTAGCATGGTACAATGAAGAGAAGGTAGGTCAACTTTGAAAAAAGTGCAAGTATAGAGATCTACCTGTTTGGCTTGTAATGTCAGAAATAGTATCAAAACAATAACAAAATCAAACAACTTGTTGCATTTATTTTGAATAAATAATTGAAAACCGCGATAACTGAATGAAAGGTCAACACTTCTTTTCAAAATCCTGTACTATATATCTCTAAAGGATTATTTCGCCACAAAAACTCTAGATTTTGTCGATGCATACGTTGAAATAAACATTTTGAAAACACCTGAATTTGAATGTTTTCTGAACAATTTTTTTGTTATTGAAAAGAAAACACATACATAAATAAATAAAGATGACATATTAAGCCAAGAAAATAAAAAAATTGAAATCATATGGTATCATAGCCCTACCTTGATATCATTGTACCATGGGTTGTAGTAACTATTAAGATATTCCAATACGAAATTTGAAACGATTCCGGTGAATAATGTTCCTGAAATCATCAAAATACCGAATATCGGGAGCTACCGTTATATGGGGGCTATACGAAGACGTGGAACTTCATACAAAATTGTTTGTCATAGGCTGTAGTACCCATTACGAACTTCAAATGCGAAATTTGAAATAATTCCGGTATATAATGTCGCTGAAATCATGAAAATACCGAATATCGGGAGGTTATACGAAAACGTGTATCGATAGGTCCATTTACGACCTTAACCTGCCTATTGGTAAACTATACATGCATACAAAATTTTAGCCTTCTATCTCAATTTGTTCGAAAGATAGCATGATTACAACTGACAGGCAGACAGAAGGACATCGCAAAATCGTCTTAGAATTTTACGTTGATTCAGAATATATATACTTTGTAGGGTCTATTATTAATATTTCGAGCAGCTAAAAACGGAATGACAAAGTTAATACACCCTCCAAAGAATGGCGGAGGGTATAAAAACTGCAGATATAAATCTTACGTTCCAAAGTCATTAAAGAAGATTACAAAAATAAGCAAGGTCACAGTTTAAAGACTCCGATCTAAAAGTCGTGAAAACCGGCAGATATACTCGATTACTTCAACAACATTCCAGTTATATATCCTAGTCATAGATATTATGCGACAATGGTCAATAATGACGCCCACAGCCATTCGGATCTCGGATGTAATTGTTAATGGCATCAGTATGAATGCTAATTGGATCTGCCTGAAAGGCTCCTTGTTAGTGACGTTGGACTTCTCTCTAAGTAGATCATGTAGATCTATCCTCACAAGCCTAGCTGGGGGAGTTTTATCCGCCATATCATAGAAGGCATCCTGTTGCACTTCTCAGGGTGGGATCACGGCACATCAGGATATTCTACACATTCAGCTGTGGTCTCATTTTCGCAATCCATGTGGTAAAGAGTATGATCACTGACTTTGTGGCGAATATTTGATATTCTTTGCGTGAAATAAGGCACGAACGGTGTAAATGGCTAACGGCAGGTTAAGGACATGTGTGAGATACTCGTATCCCGGCATATCCAGCTGTATCAATATTAACTTTGATATTCCGCCCGTGCCGAACGTTTTGTGACTTTGCATTACGAATAACATATGTAATATTATCCATCGGAAACTGTAGTTGTAACTCCTAAGGGTATGGGATCTTATAAGACGTAGTACACCTCTTTTTGCCTCTTTACTTGCATTTTTTCAACTTAGCCTACCTTCTCTTCATTGTACCATGGCTCGAGGATAAAAGGTCCCGGACCTATCGATAGGCTTCGGAAACGTTCTACTATTTGGAAAAACTTGAATCTCATGGAGAATAATTTATTGTCTTAAAGGCGCTGGTTGCCTACCATCTATAGATTTTAATTTTGACTGATTTGTTTGTTTGGTACCGCAGAGGTATAGTTAGTATTTCCGTTTTCGTTACCACATCCAACTTGATTAAATTCCCTATCCCCTCCGTAGATTCCTTACACTGAGACTCAAAGCAGAGCACCAATTTGAGATCTTCTTTATTCAAAATCATAGACATTATTTTTTTTTAATTAAACCCAATAACTCCAAAGTTTTCTCCCTCCAAAGAACATGAATCGGAGCCCTTTCAAGGGCTTGGAAGTCATATTAATGGGAAGCCTAGAAATCTATTTTTGATACAGAAAAAGTTCTGTTAACTTTAAGAAGATATATAAATAAAAAATTATAAATGACTAGTTTTGATTAGTCCCAGAATAGTAGTAAAGAATGAGACGAATGCTAATATCCGTAACAATAGGCTTTCGGCTCAATGACTAATAATACTTGTAAGTAACTAACAATTACAACCTGTTGTAACTTACCTTGTCCCTCTGATATTAACAATATACAAGTCTTTACTGGCTACAGCTAGCATATGGAAACTTCGGCCTGCATTGGGAGCGAATGCCAAATCAGTGACTGGATCAGTAATGTCATTAATTGTATCGACCTTAACACATTTCCTGGCATTTTCACTATAGGCAAAAATGAAGACCTTACCGGTAGCTGTGGCCGTTTCGTCGCTGCCAGCCTACATATGGACAAAAATAATATCATACAATCAAAAAAAAATATATAGCAAAACAATAGCAAAAACTTACAGCCAACAATTGTGATGACAACATATACATTGAAGTGTTCCAAGATAGACAACTCAACGGCAGCTTGTTGGTAATTTCATGTTGTACAGACCATTGACTCAAATTCATAATGTCGGGTGCTTCATAGATACGAATGACTCCATCAGCAGACGCAGTTGCCAGCAACAAGCCCAAATATTTTGGCGCAAATTCTACATCAGTTACACTGGTACGTGAATCGACCAATATAGTACGTTTAACCCAACGACGTGCTGGTGTCATAGTGCCGCCAACCTTTTCCCCCAATACTTCTTCCCATACCGATGCAGTCCGGTCAAAAGAGCACGTGGCCAAGACTTGTCCAAACTCGGGATGAGCCCATGAAACACGCCATATTGAACCCGAGTGAGCCTTCCAACTGGAGGTAACAGCCCATTCGCCTTGTTCATTTTCGTCCCATATCTAAAAGGGGTGGTTAAAGAAATATACGATATGTACAAACACAATGAATGGCAAACAAAAGCCCAAATAACAAGTAACGAAACATACCTTCACTGTTTGGTCACTGGAACATGTTGCCATTCTCCGACCATAATAATCGAATACCACATCATGTATAACGTCTTTATGATCAACTATTATTGACTCAACTTCAAACATTCTTTATAATAAATTTGTTTCTGATAACGCAAGTTGGAGTCCGCAATTTGCAAAAAATATAAAAGGTAAACAAAACACCCGTTCAGTGCGATATGCCGCTTTTTATAAATTTCACAGAGTCGGCATAAAAATTTAACACCGGTAAAAGTTGGGCCATCAGAGATTTTCAAACTGTAAATTACTACAATGGTGTTTAATACCATGGCAGAAGAATACAGGTAGATGGATCAGCGCATGGGAGCACTGATATGTCAAAAAAATAATTTTTTTTAAATATAAGTAGATTTTTATATGTTGTCTTATACTACGTCAATCGGAGGCTATTATAATTTGTGTTTTTCAAAAATGTTTACAAATTTCAATAATTTTTCGTTCAACATTTTAAATTCCAAAATTGGGTTGACAGTTTATTGTCCCAGCAGCTGTGTCGATGCTTCTACCTATATTTTTCTACCATGCTACTATCAGAGTATAATGTGGCGTTTCAACTGCACTTGATTCCCTCTATAGTCGTTGTTTGACCCTTAACTATGTAAAAACGACTTAATTCTCCACACAAAATTTCTTAAGCGAACACTCCTCTCAGAACAATGATAATATATGTTTTATCCCTAGTAATTAAGAGAATCTAACGGAAAAAATTAATTATGACATTGGAAAATGCAAAAAAAAGAAAAATTTTATAAAATTTTAAAATGTTTCAGAAAAAATGAATATAATGAATAAAAAGTATAATGTTGTACGGCATATATATATTCAGACAAAAGAAAATTTTGTTCTCTATCTAATTCATGGTGCGCATCTTGTCCATAGAGTCGAATATGCGCACAATTCTAGAAATAAAAAAACATAAATTTTGCGAATGTCTGCATCAATATTTTTTTGGCACGTCTCTCTTCTGTAAAATTAAAAATTGCAAAAATACTAGAAAATGTCAATATTTTCTGAAAAAGTGGAAAACAGGAAATAAAGGTATGTTTTTTTTTTTTTTTTTTTTTTTTTGAAAATCGCAAGCCTACTTGTTTTGTTTTTGTGTTAATTTTTGCAGGTTAATTTTATTTTCCAACATCAATTGTCTCTACACTTGATTTTGTGATACATCATTTTGGCTAACTTTTGAATTCCCTTTTGGTTGTGTATGTGTACATAAACAAACATCAGCTGAGCGCCTTTCATATCCTCCTCAGGGTGTATCTAAACACGCAAGATTAACCCACTGGAACAGTGCGTCGGGGAGGACAATATTATTTTCGTACGTAGTATAAGCTCTGTTTCCTTGCTTATGTATAAGCAAGAATTTAATACTCAACAAACTTGAATTGTCAATGAAATTATTAAAACTAAAAAGGATGAAAACAGTAGTTTTCTGAATAAAATCTATTCCTGAATCTAAAGAATATTTTTTATGATCCTAGTCATTAGAAGTGAGCGAAACAACCATTTTTCTACAAAACACGCATTTGTAACAGTTAACATCACTAATTCTGTTTTGCACACAACCCCTCAGCCAGGCATTCACCTTTCTCAACACTTCTCTTATCAAATCCCACGAGAACCCACTGCCGATGAATGGCAACATATTTATGCGATGTGGCATCATCATTCGTCACTAGTGGTGAGAGCATACCAATAAATAAAAACACACACGGCCACTAGCCAGTTAAATTCGCGGAAGTTATTTTTTTATAAGAGAAGAATTAAAGAATTGTAAACTATTATTTTCATAAAAAACATTAACCGTTGTGTGTGAACAAAAGCATGCAGTGTAAAATTAATAAAATTTCAATTAAATGTTGAATTAAATCATTGTCGAACGAAAAAGTAAAGCAACTAAAATATAGTGGAAAGTGAAAGAAAAAGAAATTTGGAAAATTACAAGCCACCAAAGAAAGGCAACCACATTTCATGAAATAAAGTGCTGGATTTTCTTGTCCACAAATATACAGCTGAGAAAGACAACACTTAATTAACGGGATTTTGGAAATTTGCAAATATGGAAACTGGTATGTAATGGCTTAAGAAAATATAAACGTATTTTGTTTGTTTATTTTTGGATAATTTTTGTAGCAGAAAAAATAATAAAAAGCATTTTTATATTAAACATCAGACCATAAGGAGGCGTAACATCAGGTGATGTTTGGTGTGTGTTTTGTGTGGCTGTGTTTTTTTTCTTCTTATGCGGCTTGTATTGCCATGGGAAGGGTGATTAACTTAACCCTCTTATTAGAAAATGTTACTACATAAAACACAATTCCAAATAAATGATGGCGATTGCGTCTTCCTTCTTCTTTTGTTATTATTAAGGATTCCTTTTGATGTTTTAAGGATATTCTCAAAATACAAAAGTGCTTCCTTCCATTCATGTGTACATAAAACATTATATTATGCAATATGAAACTGATTACAAAATGTAAACAATAAAATACCGGTTTTCTATTGATCCTAAATCATGGACATGATTTAATAAAAACTGTATATTTCTTTAAACAAATTTTAATTTGTAAATTATTCTAACCAAAAGAAATCATCAGGCTTATGTATATTTTCTCGCTCTTTTTCATTGCCCATCTCCAATGTCTCTCATTCTCTTTTATATGAAAACATCTTACGTTCTCCCCATATACTGACCTTGGATTTCTATTGGATGTAACTGCTCGCGCCATATTCTATGTCATAGTATGGGTGTAGTAATTTTGTCGTGTTGTATAGAACAAGATGTTGTTTGTTTTGAAAAGGGTTTGGGCGGGGGGATGAGTGGGAGACATTGGAATACTAAACATCAACGTGTTAATAAAATATGTATGTAGAGTTGTGCGACGATAATGAAAACTGTAAAAAGAGACACACCGGCTTGTTTTCGTTTTGTTATTATTCTGTGAGAGAGAGCAAACCTGCGGGTTGAGAGAAAGAGACTAGCCTGCAATTTTTACTGTTATTCATGTGGGCTTCCGTAGAAGAAATGTGATAAAAAAGAAAATCGGGCAAATATGACGTAGTAGTTGAAACTTTTAAGGAATTTTAATTAAAAAAATGACTCCAAGAGGACATATTTCAGACAAAGTAAAAGTAATTCCCATAAAGGGAGAGGTGTTTTGTAAGTTTACTACTTAAATATATACATGGCGTAACCTCAACATTAATTGAATGAAAGGTATCATAGTCTGGCTGATGAACCAAAAACTGAAAAATTCTGCTTACTTAAATTATAGACATACACAATGCGTATGTGGTAAGTTTTCCGTCGAACACAGAATATCAGTTACTTTAGTATTACTTACATCAAAAGCTATTGGGGCTTAACTCTTGTTTAGTAAAAACTCTTCAATTTTTTCGAAATGTTTTTTTCTTGGGGGACGGACCTGCGACCCCAGATTTTTGACCCGAATGTCCGGGTTCAAGACCCCGACTAGACCCGGATCCAATTACCCGATATAGACAATATATATATCGTTGGAAAGCTTATGAAAATACCTACAAGTGGTCACATGATGGGGTAAGATGCTGCGGTTCGGAAGTTATAGTCAAATTATCGATTTTTTGGACCTGGATTTTTATAAAACCCCCAAAAAGTCACTCTTACCTTTCCGAAATGCTACAATTTGTGCTAATACCTTTACAAAGTCCAGAGATATGGGTCTTTCCATCCGCATAACCCGATTTTAACTAGTTCATTAAAACTATGTTTTCAATAAAAAAAAGGTATATTTCGCGTAAGCATGAAATTCAGAAATCTTTGGTTCGCGTTAGCCGGTGTGGACATACCCAGAGGAGAAAATCTCAAGCCCCGGCCGAAGGCCGGCTACTTACAAAAGGTATTCAATTTAGAAAACTTGAATGGGAATATTCCCATATTTTTCGATGTCATCACGTACTTTTCAGATTTCTTTTATTATGAAATAATTTTCAACTGACAAGTATCCTATAGTTTTTGTTATTTTTAACATTTTTGAATTGAGTGACTTCAAAATTCACACTCAAACCCCTGAAACGACATTGACGACATCTGCTGATCCGATTTTTTTCGAAGATGAACGGTGAGAGCATTTCGTTGTCTATATTTTCATTTGTCTATGTGGTAATATTCTTGGACAAATTCGTGTAAGTTTAATAGATATTGAACCCATTGATTGCTCCATATTATTTGTTTTCTTTTAGACCACCAAAGAAAAATATGTCCACCAGAACATAACTCCAAGGAATTGTTATACTCTACACCATTGTCGGAATATGGAGTCACTATATAGTTTGATTAAAATAGGTTAATATGTATATATGCAAAGCTCTCATATGTCACAATATTCGATACATAGAATAGCGGTATTGAGTGTTAAAAATTATGTCAACTCTATTCAGATATAGGTGTTGCTCCCAATTATTTATATTTGCCAACCGATTTCGATGCGGCTCCTAGACGAGATCGTCTTAATTTTTCAAAAACCTGTCCAACAAAAGAATGTACTTCTCCCCCCTTGTAGGCATTATCAATGGACAAATGACGTGAATTAGAATGACAACGATGTAATTCAGTAAATTACTTCATATGGAATGGGCATATATGAAAGTGGAATTGGTAGCCTACTGCCTATTCATTCATGATGCATTCAAGTTTCCACGTTATAAATAAAAATGCGCATATTCTACATATAGTATTGTCCAATATGAGGTTCAAGTAATAAGTCAAGGAAATCTGTTTCTAGGTTGCAAGAAGTTTATTGATATAATAGCGGTATATTAAAATCTCATTTCCACATGTCAAATTATTCAATTGTAACTTATGCCCTGATTATCATAGTTTTCAACAACAATTGTTTCATTCAGATATTTATTTATATTTTATATAATTATGAAGTAATTATATCTATATCTTTATTCCAATATCGATTCAAAATAAGTCATGGTAAATTTTAACAATTAAGTGATATAATTAAACCAAACTGCTTTTAAATTAGTTTTTTTCTATCAAATTATCATACTGCTATAGTTATATATAAGGCACATAGCTGGGAATGATGACCCCCAATCCGATCTGCATGTGTTCGAATTATGCTCATACATATTTTTGAAAAAGATTTGCATATTCGTTTTATTTTTTTCTTCTT